GCTTTTGAACTCTCTGGAGCAGCCTAAAAGATTTGCTGTAAGAAAAACTTTTGCGGAAAACATAACTTTTTGAGTGATCCTGAGGAATCCTAAGTTTACTACACAATTCGCTAGCGTTAGTGAATGGTTCAAGAGGTTGAGGAAATCTCAAGCCCTTACAGCACTAAATATCTTGAAAGCGGCTTGTCACTAATATTTCTTCAGAGGTTCTGAGACTCACGACTGCAGCCTTCTTTCATGTTTAGATGGTGACAGGGTTCCACAACTCATTCGCTAACGCCCTGGACTGTTGTAAGGAGTGCAAATTCGCTATCGCTAGCGTTAGTGAATGTTGTAACATCTCATTTGCTAACGCCCTGGACTGTTGTAAGGAGTGCAAATTCGCTATCGCTAGCGTTAGTATGCGTTAGTGAATGTTGTAACAGCTCATTCGCTAACGCCCTAGACTGTTGTAAGGAGTGCAAATTTGCTACCGTGAATGTTAGTGAATGCTGTAACGATGTTTTTTCCCAACGTTAGTGAATGCTGTAACGATGTTTTTTCCCTAGCCCACTTGAACTTGGCAGCCTCGCCGATCAAGCAAGCGCTGCCCCACCCCAACCAACCTAAACAACAACAAACCAACAACATGTATGGAGTGCGGAAGTTTCTATGAAATCCAGTTTGTGTATACAGCTACAAAACCAATATTTTTTTCAAATCAACTATTCAAATATGTTAAATACACCACAGTATTATATATAGGGGTACAAGTACCTGTTTTTATGGGGTCATGTCCCATTTTCTAAGGTATTTGGCGACTCCAGGTATATGCTTATCACAAGTGATGCAGGACTCCGTCCAATAAGACCCTCTGAATAGAAAGAAGACACCTCGGGCCCCGGTCACATGGAGACCAGGCATCCATCCTACCGGTGGACCTGAACAGGTCGCTGGAGCGAGCGGAGTTTTTACCCATACACGACGTGTCTGGGACTGGCAGTCCGGACTGGCAGTCCCAGACTGGTCGCGTTTGGGTTAGGATTGGACCTGGGAAGATCAAGACGGAGGAGGCCCTGGCATCACCATTGAAGGTTCGGAGCCGTGCCCTTGGCGCGAGACGATGGGTGTTGGGGCTTGCGAAATCGGACCCATTTGGTCCGTTGAAGTCACCGAAGAAAAACAGTAAAGTGTAGGTTAACGTGTTAAGAAATTGTGGGCAACAACTGTCTAAGGTGGTTTTAAGTTGTCTAAAGTGCATCTAATGAAAGGAACTTCCTGGGCGATTGGAGTTTGCCTGTGCCCGGCTGCGCCCTGTGAAAGGTTGTCTCGATGAAGGCTGGGTTCGCGTGAGATGGGATCGAGTCTGGAGAACGTACAACTACCGAGTTGGAGCAGAAGGCAGTTACGACCTCGTCTACAACTCCTTCGTGGCAGCACCAGGTGAGGCAGATTCTGAGAATGTGCTTATCAGCAACATGATGTTGCTTTCGTTAACCGTTAATCAACTGAAAAGTAGGAGTTTTGAAGAGTTTTGAAGATGCTACATGTTCAGACATCTCAGCAGGAGTAAGATCAAACATGTGATACATTTTGCGCTACTATTGCGCAAAACAAAGACCAAGCACATACTTGTAGTATGTAATTCGGTAGTCTTCATGAATTAAAAAAAGAAAACCATATTGTTTAGGTCTCTCTATTTTAGAATTCGACCAAACCAATCCGGCCGGTTCGCTGGACTGGGGCATTCGACCGCTATATGTGCCCTGAAAAAGGTGAAATCTTGACATCCGCAGAAGTGGGAATTCGCGTGAGGAGAGGTCCAGATTGGAAATGGCACAACCAGGACGGCGGCGGAGCGGGCATCACCATCGACGGAGTTGAACGAGATGGATGGGTCCGTGTTTGCTGGGACACTGGCATGGAACAGCGCTACCGGGTTGGTGCACAAGGAAGTTACGATCTCATCATCGACTTCTCCTACCCTCCAGCGCAGCCTGTGGTTTATGATCAGTGACATGTTTCTTTTTTTGGAACCCCGTGTATGTCTTGCCCCTCCAAGCCAAACACCATCAAACACCCTCCACCATCTATGACCCTAAGTAGTGTCATAGGCTACAGAACTCGGACCTCAAGGTGTTTGGAGATCCCCTCCGGTCAGACCGGGGGTCCTTTGGGTCTCGCCGTTCACCCCTCCTTCACCGACCGAGGCACGGTCAAGTCTTGCGCATCCCGGAGCCGGGGATCCGAGTGAGGCGAGGTCCAGATTGGAAGTGGCAGAATCAAGACGGTGGAGGTTTGGGCACCACCCAGCCATGCTCGATGGCCGGCTGGGTTTGCGTTTGGTGGGACCATGAGCCTGTTTGCCATCACATGTATCGCGTGGGTGCTGAGGGCAAGTATGACTTGACCGTGGCGGAACCCAGAAGCACGGATTACATGGTCGGTCGCCGCGTGAGGTTCATTCAGGGCAGCGAACACGTGGACTTCTCCGGATGTCCGGGCAGCGCCTTGTCCTTCGGCGCCGGCTGGACGCAGTACATCCACCGAATCGAAGGAGAGTGGTTTACCACCCAACAGTTCCGTGGTTTTGCTGAGGATTGTTTACTTTTCCCTATCCCAGAAATGCCTACATTGGGGTGGTTGAAAGGGGGTCAATGGGGCGGCATAGATTCCAGTCCCATGGAGTGTATGGGTATGGGTGAATCCCCTGATTTGGGGAATCGGCCCAAAAGTTTGTGTCCAGTTCCGAGGTTCGCCACGCTCTGGGCGCCACTGAGTGCCGTTCAGCTGACAGAGTCCGAGGACAGCAACTATGTCGGCTACAGCGAGGAGGAAATGGAGGAAGGCGTCACATCCTTCATGGACTCAGAGGGCGACTCCATCGAGTGTGCGAACCACCCAGGTGCACACGGGCGGTGGTAGGAAAAGAGGTGCACAGGTGTCGTCGCACTGCCGTCGTTGTTCTTAAAACATGTCATGATTTGTTCTGGAAGAGAAGAAGTCGGGGAAATTCAGAGAATATAATATGGTGCCCCTGTTGAATGCTCGGCCATCATCCGTCCAAGGTATTGGTCATGATGAGGAATGGCTCGATGTAGAGGAAGCCAGCAGCATGCAATGCCCGATCTGCCTATATGTGGCACGTGATGCTCTTGCACATGATTGTGGGCATCTCTTTTGCGAGAGCTGTTGGGATCGATGGATCACCGACCATCGCAATTGTCCCGTCTGTCGCGAGGACGGACATAGCATCGTGCGGGCGCCTCGCGATCAACGCAAGATCTTGAATCTCAAGATCCGATGTCCCCTGGACTGCGGAGAGACCATTCGCTTGGGGGACAAGGAAGCGCATGTGACCTTCTGTGCCACTTACCGGCGATGTAGTGCATGTGGTGAGGAGATGCTTGCTGAGATGCTCACAATTCACGAGAAGGACACATCAAATGTCTTGTTTTTGCGTAGTTTTTAGACTTAACAGCCAGGAGTCACAAAGAGGTGGTGTTTGGTCCCTAAGTTAGTGATAGTGGGCACCTCCATTAAGCACCCCTTTGGTGACTCCTGGAGCAAGATGTTTCAAGTCTTAACAGCCGAAAAAACATCCTGTTCACAGCTCGCAACGGATAGAACCCACTGGATGGCTGGCACGGGCCTTGTAGGGGAGGCCAACTCTCTACTACCGGAGGCCTCCAGTTCACGAGCTCAGAATGTTCTCAGAAGACTTCAGAACTACTGTTGGAAGATGTGGAAAGTACAGAAATGACAGGTGCATCAAGCGAAGGTTCCTGGGAATGCCCCACCTATTTCGACGCGTTTGTGCGAACTCGATCTCACTCGTCACAGGAGATGTGCAGATGTCGTCCTATCCCTTGCGAGCTGTGCAGCGAGATGGTGAGGATGGATCAGATGGAAGCTCATATGGCCGGCAACGTGGGAATTCACATGTTGGCCCTGCACAAGGAAAACCAGGCCTTGAAGAAGGAGAACCAAACCATAAAGAAGGAGCTCAGATTTGCTGATCTTTCGTGACGTTGAAGTGTTGTATATAGTGTTAGTGTATGATTGCTGATCCCCTTGGAGTTGTCCATGTCCATCTCAGGGAGGGTAGATAGATGTTCTAGGTCCAAGTCTTGATGGTTTTCTTGGCAGCTCTTGGCAGCTCGGAAGCCACGCTTCACCGGGTTCCACCAGTTCGGGTCCAAAGATTCGGTTCGCCGTCCTTTATCGGCCGCTGGCTGGCAGGAGAGCAGATCCTTGAAGAAGGAGGGCCAATTCTTAAAAGCTCGGGTGGAAGAGCTGGAGCGACAAGTCGTCGCCCGCGACGAGTCGGATGCCTGAAGCCGAGCAGCTAAGCGGCCCTAGCTGGCGGGGTGAAGCGTACCGCAGCTCCGGAGCTGGCCGCTTTCGAACCGTTCATCCACAAGTGATGAGTCAAGACGGAAGTTCCCTGGACAGATCTGGACGTGACGGTTTGGCAGCTGGGCAAAGCTACCCGCAGAACATCACCGGTCAGACCGTTCAGAAAAGATCCGAACAGAAGGGGATCACTCCCGGAGCTGCAGAGGTGTTGTCGGGTGGGACTTGAAGAGTCGAAGCTAAGACGGGGGGGGCTTCGGGAAGACGTCCTGGTTCATGCCGAGAATCTGATCTCAGAATGAAGCGAGTGCCATCCTAAAACTATGGGAAAGATCAACAAAATCTATTGGTTTCGGTGGGATTTGAAGGTATATATATATTTATAGACTTGTGTATACAATGTATATATATATAGAGAACAAATACCAGCCAGACGCATTCGAGTTTTGACCATGAGTTGGACCACCTCCAGCGATCACTAAGGGGTTTCCTGACTGTCATCCCTTAGTCCCCCATCGAGTTCGGATTTTCATGATTTTGGGTAGGACGACATGTCAGTTTGCCCGTACTGGCTTCTCCACTTCTACAGTAGAACCTCTGTTTGAACGTTTTGCCCAAAAGATGAGGGACTCCTCCAAATCCATCGCTCTGCAAGCACTCTGCACTTGAGCGCACTCTCGATGTCTCGTCGTTTTCAGGGTTTTGCGGATCAGGTGATGATGGTTGATTTTCCAATATGTTCCATTATAGTAAAACCCCCTTCTGGTGAATATATGTTGGTTCCCCCTTCCTGGACGATGTCTCGTCGCATGGGTTTGCTTGCGGCGCTGGTGGATCGCTGAGGTCAGCTTAAGGCGGACCTTCATCGGCACACTGAGCTGGTGCGGGCGCCACAGATCGCCAGCTGGTCGTCGAGGTTGCGCCAGGGCCGGAGTACTGGGGAAGGCTTTCCTCAAATCATTGGACAAATTGAGAGCTCTTGAATTAGCTAAAATACAGGATAGCTCTTGAAGAGAGCTCTTGAACATATTATCACCCAAATTGAGAGCTCTTTCCTCAAATCATCACCTTGAATTCTCTTCCCAAAACAGAATCTTCTTGGCGCGGTGGTTAAACCATGGATGCAAAGTCTCGGCTCCGTCGCCGCGGCCCAGGCAGGAAATGCACCCTTGGCGCATGCAACAGGCGTGCTGAGAGGCCTTCAAAAGGCAAAAAGTATATCAGTAACCCAGACATGACCCCTGTTTTGATGGGACAAGACCACAGATTGGGTGGTTGGTGGTCCAAAATAGAATAAAATAGAGGTCATTCAGGTTCCCAATGTATCAGTCACCAAGATCGAACTACACTTTGCAAAGTTTCTCCTGGACGTGTCCAGATCGGTCTTGGTTCCTGAGTTAGTCTGAAGAGCTGCATGTTCTTTTTGTCCTTTCCTTCCGCCCTACTTGTAGGAGGAATGACTGTATACGATGGTGCAGGTTTGCAATTGAATTATTCTGAAAGAGGCTCATCAAAAGTTCCTTCTTTGAGGAACACTATGACTATTACGACTATACTTACATGATACCGAAACCAAGGCCCTTCTGTTCGTTCTTCCATAGTTTGGTGCTAGCCTCAAAGACTTCGAACAAGAATGGGACAATCATGATACTGGTCAGTAGGGACCCAATTTGATGTTTGATTGAGTTTTACCTCAGTTCTTGCAACGATGATGTTGCACCAAATTGGACTGATATGCGGAACAAGAGGGGTAGAGATGGCTCGCAACGACTTTCTACGGGAAGTTTGTTGTCACATTATGTTGTCACCATTGCTTAGCGGATCACCTCATGCTCCTCGATTATGTGGAAGTGACTGTGTGCGTAAATTTGTACTTGGCAGAGTTTGACATGGGCAGTCAGGCATGAGATGAGAGTCAGATGAGAGTCAGTTGGCGACCCCAATTGATTCTACGCAAATGTACTCTTCAACTCTTCGTGGAAGGTTGTGTGGTTGCGTGCGGCGCAGGTCGCATTGGAAGAGCATGAAGAATTTTTTCGTGAGCTTTCATGGGGAACACCGACCGACCTCTGCGGCGAACACCGAGCCAAGAAAACGGTGTCGGAAAATAGACCCGTTTACTACAGTAACCGAGCGGCGAGAAAGGGGAGTCTCCCTATCAGCCCTACAATCCTACCAAACTGATATGAAACAAGGCCCAATTCTTCGCCTTGTCCCTCTCAAAACAGGCTGCGATGGTGTTGTATGTTGTCAGCCCATGGTGTTGTATGTTTCGTCTCGTCTCCATACCAGTCCATTCGATCGGATCACCAGAACATCACCAGAACTCAACACCCGGTGATTTTGCACTGTCCAGGAGTCACTGTCGGTGAGGGGTGCCGGTTCCGAACGGTAGTAGAGGTAGTCGAACGCTTGCTCAGCTCCACAGGTTCTGGACCCAACACCACCCCACTCCATGTGACCCCCGTGGGTGGTCTTGTTCTAGACGGTCTTCGTCCTATTTCTGCTGGACTTTTCTCCATGTGACCCCGAACCCACCTCGTTCCACTGGGTCCAGGCTACGTGATCGGGCGCCCCGAAAGTCACCAAGGACGAACCCGGCGGTTTCCGGGCGATCCGGGGGGGGAGCGGGCGACCGGCATGAAGAAAAACAAGGGAAGGGTGGGAAGGTGGGAAGTGGATGGGTCAGTCATGGAGAGGTCTAAAGTCTAAAATGATTTTAAATAGAATCTGTCTCATGTCAGGCCTGACTGGGCCTTCCCCACGAGATGTTGCATGGAATCGCTGATGTGCTTCTGTTCAATGAAACCGGTGCTGCCCGTTTTCGTGTGCCTTTTTTGTGAATTGGAGGAGCCCAGACCGTGTGGCTATTGGGTTTTTTTCATTGTAAAGAAAACAGAACATCCACGTGCCCCTTCAGCATCTCCGCATCCGTCGAGTCGAGTCGGGTCGTCACGCTACGTAGCCGCTGACCCGAGGGGGACCGGAACGGCGCGGGCGGGGTGCTTGAGCCAGTCGGTGAGGGAACAGAGCGGGGGGGGTGCTTGAGCCATCCATGTAGAGATCGATGTAGGATGATGTAGGGATGTTTGCAGATCCCAGGATCGCCAAGTGGAAAAGATCCAGATGCCCGAGATACTGCAGGTGCTGCAGCACTGACGTGGGCATGTGCTTCGGAGAAAAAAGAAGACAAACAAATAGGACTTGTGGGGGATGAGAGAGTCATCAGTAGTCTGAAATGAAGAGTGACATGACTCGTCAATTACTATGGTGTATTTAACATATTTGAATAGTTGATTTGAAAAAAATATTGGTTTTGTAGCTGTGAGCCCAAACTGGATTTCATAGAAATCTCTGCACTCCATACATGTTGTTAGTTTGTTGTTGGTTTAGGTTGATGCTTGATGAGCTGAGTCAATTAGATTCGGATTCACACTTTGTGGAATTTTAAAGCAGAAAGTCGATCGCTTTGTTTTGATGGTTGGTTGAAAATCCTTCTAGCAACCCTCTGTGTACAATGGGCAACCAGATTTTCTTGGCTTCCATGGCTTAGTTTCACACTGCTAAATTTAAAAATGTGAGGGAGCAAATGATCTAGCATAGTGATCTGTCAAGAACTGATCTGAAGTGGGGTTCAAAAAAATATTGCAAAGGATGTGAGCAACCAAAAAGGTCGTTGATGAAAGTATCACATCGGAGGTCCTAGGGCCATGAAACCTGCATGGGCGATATACAACACTGTCATATGCTTGTAGACTTTATCGGAAACACTGGAAAATGTTGCGGGGAAGAACCAAAGGCGATAACATTTTGTGATATAGAATAAATATGGCCGTTCGCTCATGCGCAGTTAAGATATTTAGTGTTGTAGTGACTTGAGAACATCTCAAGCTCTTAAAATGATCGCTAGCGTTAGTGACACTTGTAACAAGCTTTTGAACTCTCTGGAGCAGCCTAAAAGATTTGCTGTAAGAAAAA